TAATTTGATACTAATATCGATATATTTTTGTTAAGCATAAAGTACTGTATATTGATGCATATTACTTAAAATTCAAGATTACAAGTAAATTATGCATAAGTACAACTAATTAAATCTCGATGTTTGAATTCGTATAACTAATTACKGATAAACATAATCAAATAGAAGATAAACATCTCATTTTAAAATATATAAAAATCTAAAATATAATTATAATAATTATCGAGTTTTAACAAAATAAATAATTATTATCTTTATAAAAAACTAGAAGCGTACTCGCGCAATGCAGCGAGATACATCGTGATTTTAATATTTCATTTTATTTTTTATCTCAGTCGATGTTAAAATTATATTATTAAACCAAATATAAATTACTTCGTTATTGTACCTAAATTAAATTAAAAAATTACATAAATAATGAGAAATTTTAAATAGTTAATTTGATACTAATATCGATATATTTTTGTCAAATTTTTATGATATGTTCAAACTTATATTTCATTCAAAAATAAAGCATCATCGTTTTCTCAAAATCACATAATATCATATTATAACATTAACTGAGATAAAAAATAAAATAAAATATTAAAATCAAGATATATCTCGCAGCATTGCACGAGTACACTTCTAGTATTATTAAATGATAAATAAAATAATTCGTTATTGAATCTAAATTAAATTATAAATAAAATATTAAATTAAATAAATTATATAAAAAAACTAGAACTTTAAATAGTAAATTTGATACTAATATAGATTTTTTTTTGTTTTAAATTTACATTTTATTCAAAAATAAAAGTATTATCGCTTTCTTAAAACCACTAAAAACCGTATTATATCAACATAGATAAATAATAAAACGAAACATTAAAATTGAGATATATCACGCCATATTATGCGAGCACCCTTTTAGTATACTTTAAATCATTTGACAAAATTTTTAAAAATCATTTTTTATGCATGAAATATTGTTTATTGATACATATTACTTAAAATTCAATATTAAAAGTAAACTGTGCGTATATACAACTTATTAAAACCTTATGTTTAAATTCGTGTAACTAAATGAAGATAAACATAATCAAATAAAAAAAATATCTCATTTTAAATATAAAAAATCTAAAATATAATTAAGATAATAATTGAAGTCTAACAAAATACTTAATTATTATTTTTATAAAAAAAATTATATTATTAAACAAAAAATAAAAAATACAGAAAAACAAGAAAGTTTAAATAGTTAGGTATTTAGGTTGGTACCAATATAAAAAAATTCATTTTTTTTATGATACATCTTCATATTTATATTTTATTCAAAAATAAAATATTATCGTTTTTTTAAAACCACGTAAAAAAGTATTATAACATCGACTGAGAAAAAAACGAAATATTAAAATCGAGATATATATCGCTAATACCCTTTTAGTTATACTATAAAGCATTTGACAAAAAAAATTAAAAACAAATTTTTATGCACGAGGTACTGCTTATTGATGCATATTACTTAAAATTCAAGATTACAGGTAAATTATGCGTAAGTACAACTTATTAAAGCTCCATGTTTGAATCCATGTAACTAACTGCAGATAAACATAATTAAATACAAAATAAACATCTTATTTTAAATATAAAAAAATATAAAATATAATTAAGATAATCATTGAGTTTTAATAAAATACTTAATTATCATGTTTTATAATAAATTATATTATTAAACCAAAAATTAAAAAAAAT